ACAAGGTACGCAGGATGATGGACTATGGAGAAATTACCAAAAATTATGATCTTCTATATGTAAGAGCACAGTTTTTTCCTGTACAGGGTGTCCCAATTTCGTTGTACGCATAGAAAACAAACAAGAAAAGAAAAAAAACCAAACAAAAGAAAACTAAATTAGAAACTGTCAAAACACAAAATGTATTCACCTGAAAAAAATGTTTCATGTACACCTCCCGAAATAAGAGAAATTGCTCAGTGTTCAATGTCCTCATCATTGTGGACCTTGTATTCGATGCTAAGAACGTGTTTAAACATCCATAGACAAAAATTGTCACATTGACAACTAGAAAAATTAATGACCCAATGTCACCAACTTGAACTGGTTCCATAAAATGTTACTAAAATCTCATTACAGCATCGGATGCTGTAAGGAGTCTCATTACAGCACCCGTTTGAGTACTGTTATAGCTTCCATTACCGTAGCGAAGTACATAATAGTATATTAAAAAACAAGTTTCGTAAGACACGCTTGAAATGCACGAATTCAAGTTGAAAAACGAGTGGCGAAGCCACGAGTTTTTTAATGAATGAGTGCTTTAAGTCTTATGAAACGTGTTTTTTATGCTATTTTTTGTAATTCGCGTTTTTATACTTTTTTTTAACAAAAATAAAGTAAATTTTGGCAATGTAGGGAAATAGGTATGTAGCAGTTGGTAACACCGGAACACTTGAAAATAGAAACTTTGAATTGACAATTAGAAACTGTCAAAACACAAAATATATTCACCTGAAAAAAATGTTTGATGTACACCTCCCAAAATAAGAGAAATTGCTCAGAGTCCATGTCCTCATCATTGTGGACCTTGTATTTGATGCTAAGAACGTGTTTAAACATCCATAGACAAAAATTGTCACATTGACAACTAGAAAAATTAATGACCCAATGTCACCAACTTGAACTGATTCCATAAAATGTTACTAAAATTTCATAGCATCGGATGCTGTAAAGAGTCTCATTACAGCACCCGTTTGAGTACTGTTATAGCTTCCATTACCGTAGCGAATTACAAAAAATTCTTTACATAGGTTTCTTTCTTTAAATAGTATTCACTAGCCGTATTTTCATTAATTAAATCTAGTGGTGATATATAGAAAAACTTATACAAAACTTGCGCCATTCTAAACCAATATTCGAACGATTCGAACTGAGAACAGAACAAAACCCAGAATAGAACAAGACGTGACAAGACGCTGACCGCGTCACCGCGATGAAGACATTCCAGACATGTTTCACACACATTTGTAAAGAAATGTTTCAAATAAAATGTTTCTGCAACATTTTTTAATGAGATTTCATAAATATTCCTACTGAAATGTATTTGATACATATCTTTAGATATGTTTCGTAAAAATTGTATCTGTCACGTATATGAAACGTAGTTCTAAGATGTTTCATTTAATTTACTGTACATTAAAATTGAAATGTTTCACAGATGTTTCTTGTTTACTGGGATGCAATACGTGTATAAAATGTGCATTACTTTTTTTAAATAGATAGAAGATTTTTAAAGAAAATGGAGGTAAACCTAATGCAGGGTTCGATAACAGTTTCAAATTTACTAATGGAATGGGATCTTGCTGAATTAATTGAAGACTTTCAAGGTATGTATATAAACTTTTGATCTAAATTCAGTGTACTTAATATTTAGAACTTTCATATTTACTAGAGAGAAAGTGAATTATTAATGGTAAAATGTTAATCTTTCGAATTGAAAAAAATATTTTTTCTTCGAAGTAAATAAAAATTCATATTAACATTAAATAGTGTTTCATTTAATTTTAATTTATCTACTTATCAACTTTAAAGATTTCTTTATTTAATTCAGTTAACTATGTTTTAAGTGTAAATACTAGTAACGTTACGATAAAGAGATTTATTATTTAATATTATCGTTAGTCTTTCATTTCTAAAGCAAAATTATTTGTATTAAACGGTTTTGCTTTTTTTGTCAAGTACTTTGATACACTAACAATTGAATGGTGCAGTGATTCAATAAGAACAGTAAATTTATTTGAATAAAAACTATATCCCTTTTTCTTTTGGTGTCACGTAATAGTTATTTATATTATAAGTGGGCTAGAAACATAATTACTGTACGAGTGTGAAGACTTGCACGACGAGGTCGTAGACCGAGTCGTGTAATCACACGAGCACTGTAATTAAGCTCTAGCCTACGTGTGATATACAGCGTTTTATCTACGACTGCTAAAAATTACTAAAAAATCAATTTCTTTAAAAAAGTCTATTTGACATTTACAAAAATATTTTGAAATGATTGTTGACAATTTTGAATTGTCAGTTTCAACAACATGTTTACTCATCTGGAATAAGTGTTTCGAAATGTAAAAACATAACAATTAATGTTTATAATAAATAGTATTGTTTCTCTGTAAGTAGATAGCACTTTTTCTTTTTTATTGTTGCTCGTTTCAATAAATTAAGTCTGTTCTGATTAAGCTAAAAATGCGTTACGTAATGAAACCAGTGCTGTAATGAACTTCATTACGTAACTCAAATCACCTCAAATGAGTGCGGTAATGATGACTTATCCAAGCAGTCGTAGATAAAAATTTTTAATCGTAATGAATTATTTTTCTGAGTGTAAGTAATTCAAATAATATTATTCAATAGTGATGAAAAATACCAAATAATACATATTTAAGTTATTATAGTTTAGGAAAAATAAAAAAAAAATATACGGTGTCCCGTTAAGGGTACGGAACGGCTGTATCTCGACAACGGTAAAGCCTAGAGGTTTGGGAAAGAAATCCTTATAGGCAAAGTGGTTAAGAGAAATAGCTGGAAATTATTTTGAACTTCGTAATTCGACCGCTAGGGGGCGTAACTGCCATTGAGAAACATAAAATTCCCGCTATCTCAAAAAGTTAGACGATGAGCTATAACTTTGACAACATCATTTAATAGCCTGGATAATACCGCTTCGCTTTTATTTTGCGATATTTCTCATATCTGTCATAATAAGGGAGGGGGAGGCCAATGTGTTTTCATATGTTTACATTTTAATATCTCCTGGACCATTCAACCGATTTGAATATTTTCGGTGTTGTTTGAAAGAGCATTTTATGCTCTTTTTAAAGACATTTTCAGTAAGACCGTTTGCTTTAAAACAAATAAGCTAGAGGGCGTTATCTGCAGCGGTTACATATTTTTGTGATTTTTGAAAAAAAGTTAAATGGAACGGTACTATTTACTTCACAGACCCTTAATCACCATAAAATTTGCTAAATATTAGTGAAAACCGTATCTCGATATCTATATCCATTCTCGAATATAGAAGAAAATGTTAAAAATTCGTAAATCTTAATCGGATCAAGTTACCTTAGGAAACAAATAAGAGAGCACAAAAATGTTATTAACTAGACCCTTCCTTCACACGTTATCCAAGCTTAGAACTGCTTCAAAACTACTTTTGAGGCGTGTTGAAAAGCCAACGGATCAATGAAACATCAACAATGATAATAAAACAAAATAAACCAAAACACTTAGAATTACTTAAATTTTTGACAAAAATAGCTCAATAATGTTCGAAATGCCTTCCATAAACCTCGATGCATTTATTGAATCTAGTTTCGACGAAAAAAAAACACTGTTTAGGTCTCGGCCCTGGACACGTTTCTACCGGCATTTAATGTTTTGTCATATTTTCCCTGGTAATTGGTTTTTCTTGAAAAGTCAGGTCGTTTAGTCTACCCAATAGTAAAATAATTTAGATAAAGAGGTGAAAGCAATGTGGGTTTTGCTCGAACCAAGAATGCATATTATGCAAGTTTACACCAGCTTGTGGAGAGATGCTTCATGCATCCATGGCATTTGTGATAAAAGGTTTGGATTTGCCCAAATCATATTTAAAAGTCAATTATAATTGTTCAGTCTGTTATCATAATCTGTTAAGGCCTGATGTAAAACAATGTGGAGGAGATATTATTCCCTTGAGGAATCTTGTGGACAATTGTTTTCGGAGTTCCCAGATTTTGTGGGGTCGCATTGCGCACCAATGTGATTTACGAATTCATAGAGATGTCTGAATGGGCTACATGTTGACAGTTTTCCGTAATCGCTAAGTCAATCTTAAAAACACTTCTAGAGAAAAATGTCTTTCTTTGTCGTAATTGCATTGCACATTTTTGTCATGCAGTTGCATCGTGTTCAAAACATTGAAAATAAATCATCATACGCTTCTGTGTTAGTAAAAGACATGTAAAGACACCCTGTATAATAAATGTTACGTACGGGACTGAAGCTTTTTGCCGTTATGGGGTGGCGGCTCGTTTTCTAGTTCAAAGCACGCACTCCAGTAAATATAGTATATCTCGATGGTGCCAACATTATTGCGATTTTTACTAGATTTTTGGTCACCATATTTACATTTCAGCCAATTACAGAGCGCATTCTTGGCGTATAAAAATTTTAAAAATTAATTTTCCATAGCAATTTGAATTTTTATGGAATCTAATGCAACGTTGCCACAGATTCATTTACATTGTTGCTTGTTATTAAAATGGGCGCAAATTTTAAATATTTTTATAGATAGGCGCAATTTGACAAAACATTGCAGTATTTCTAATTTAGTATGTATTCTGGTAATATTAATATACTTTTTAAAATATAAAACGATAAGAAAGGACAAAATAAATAACGTTTTTTCTGGATTGTCGGAACTTTCCCGTATATTCTGTGAAGATGGGGCTGTATGCTAAAAATAAAAATTTTATAATAATTGAAAGTTGTATAAAAAAAATGTCAAAACTTTTTAAGAAACAATTATTTTTCTATCTAATTCCGATTAAAAAACATTGCAATTTCAATAACAATAAGAAAAATGTGAAAGCCTTAGTAGTTACTAAAACACCCAACTATAACCTCTTTAAATTAACACCAAAAACACCATGGAAATACACCAGACTTTTCTTAACAGGTAAAAAGCAAAAAAAACCAAAACCCATCAAAATTCTCGTAGTCTTAACAATAATTTTAATATTACCGCGTTTTAAAACGCTTTTTTATGAGCACGCGCAATAGACGTTTTTAGGTTATTAAATGGCAGTCGAAAAAATAAACATCATGGATATGGACTTGGGAGTTGCAACAATCTGTTTAAAAACAACCCTAACCCTATACACCATTGGTTATCTAATAACAGGAGGTTTTACACACATTTTGACTTTAGGAGTGGTCTCTATTGCGGTAATAACGTGTCTTTTGTATGTCATACGAGTACCAAGACCTCCAAATAGTGCCGTTGAAAAAATTATTGGCCCCGACCCTTTTATTACCGAACACGATGATGTTATTACTACCATTGCTCATCGTGGAGCCGGATTGGATGCACCAGAAAATAGTTTGGAAGCGTTTAGACAGGTTAGATTCAATTTACTGTCAATTTTCTTTTAGGTTATGTTTTAGTAAATTTAATTTGATATTTTTATTTTTAGTGCCACACCAAAGGGGTTGATTTTATCGAATTTGACGTGACTTTAACTGCTGATTATGTGCCCATTGTTTTTCATGATGATTCCTTAGAAAGAATGACTGGCATTCATGAATTGGTGAGAGATAAAACATACAAAGAATTGGAAATGTTAGATATTAGTGTTCATCACCCGTACAAGTAAGTTTTAAATTATAGGGTGTGGCAAATAATGTTCTTATTATTGCATGTTAATAAAACTGTTGATGTTATTAAGTAGGTACATATATATAAAGCCATTTCTTTTAGTCGACAGTCCAAGATAACCATTTTTCTGTAGAATACAGATGTCCCTACAATCAATAAAGTGTGGATGTTTCATCTAGATTATGATTTAAATCAATTGGTACAAATGTTACATTTGTTATGTACAAATAATTTTCTTAATAATACTAACAATTGTATTGATGCATGAAACAGTTCATATTCAGTTTATCTAAATATCAATTCATCTTAGTGGACATTAAGTACACATACCATTAAAATCTATTTTTAGGATTTTGTAAAGTTCATTGGTAAAGTTGTAAAACCTAAGGGGCAGGGTGATGAATCTGTTAAGGAGGAGATTGAAGTAGATGAGTTTATATCAACAGCAGTTTCATGATCTTTTAGTTATAGTGATGTCTGTTGTGTTTTTGTTTCTATAAATGTTTAGGGATAATTTGTTGTATGTAATGTTTCTTTTGATTTCTAGGTCAAGGTAATTGATCTTAAAATTATTTTCCATTTCAGTGGTGAATTTTAGATTGCACAGGTTTTTAAGGGCTGAGAGTTTCGCATTATTTCCATTGTAAATCATAAAAATGTCGTCCAAAATAAAATTTTTCATCTGTGTTAAATAACTATATTTTTGGCTGAATATTTTAAAGTCGTATTAAGATGTTGGAGTGGAGACTGATGAACTCATCAGTAGTCCGTCTTGCAATCCGTCTTGGCACATCTAGGACCGCTCGGGAGATTCCTCGTCTTTAGCGTACTATCTCACGAATTTTCTCGTGCGCAACACGTGTGGGCCAAAAACATGCGGTCTTATACAGCGTGTCTCCGAAATGCGTGTACAACAGAAGACCACAAATTCCTTGACTCAAAATAGGTCGATTTAAGTTAAGTTATCTATATCCAAAGTTGCTTCGTTTCGCCGCTAGAGGACTTCAAAATTAGCAAAAAAAATCTTTTATTTTTTATAACTCGAAAACGTGTTAATTAATTGAAACCATTTTTCAGAAGTGAGTTCCTAGGTTCAATTAACGTCTTTTTATGTTTTTTGATACAATTTTAGAAACACAGGAATGATGGAAAAGTCATGTGTTCACCGGATATTACCCCATATTCTTTTTTCTGGCCAGGCGACAATTACATTATTATAATTTCTGAATAGCCCATTTAGTTCTAAACCGTTTTTGTCTCTTATAAGATTTTGATTACATAAGTGGTTAAGCCAGAAAAAAAGGTATTTTTAAATATCTGCAAGCCTTATTTACGCCCTTGCAGTTACAAAAGTTACCTCATCATAGTTGGCACTGATTTCAACTAATTGCAATTTATGTTTAACGTGAACAATATCATTAATTGATTAAAAGCGTGGGCATTCAATGATCCTCAAAGCATACAGTGTTAGGAAAAAACGTAGTCGTATTTAGTTCATTCAGTACGACAAAGAGAAACTTTTAATCAATTCTAAGAAACAAAAGGATAATACATGTGTTATTGCAATGATAAAACATAACTCTAGTATGCTTTGCATTTAACTGTCAGTTAATATCAATAAATCGTGTTTAACGTTATTTTTATAATGGATACTTACACATATGATGAGCAAGTAGATATGATTTTAGTTTATGGCCAATATCAATTTTATGGTCGCAAAAACGTTCGAGCCTTGAGGCGTGAAAAGTTTCTTAATCGGCGAGTGCCAAACCACTAAACGTTTATAAATATCGTAAGACGTCTCAGGGAAACAGCTAGCTTGAAACCGAAATACACAGACCATGGATGTCAACGTACAAGGCGAACTATAGAGTTAGAAGAAAGGGTTCTTGAAAGAGTAGCAGAAGACCCTAAAATTAGTACGAGGCGCTTAGGAAATCAACTAGCAGTCTCTAAAGATGTTGTCCATAGGGTAATAAAAGAAGAATTATTACACCCATACCACCTTCAAAAAGTGCAAGAGCTTTTACCTGTGGATCACGAAATGCGTTTGACTTTCATCCAACTCATCCAAAACGAAAGAGTTCACGACCCACATTTTAGTAGGAGGATTTTATTCACAGATGAGGCAACGTTTACCAGATCTGGTATCAATAACATGCGTAACGATCATGTTTATGCTGAAGAAAATCCGTTATGACCACAGCAGTCCATCATCAGCATCAATTCAAAGTCAATGTTTGGGCTGGAATTATTGGCGATAACATCATTGGACCGGTAATAATACCAAATCGGGTAAATCGCGAAGTTTATTTAAATTTATTAAGACAGTTGTTACCGGGTTTGTTAGAAAATGTACCTTTATTACTTCGTCGCGATATGTGGTTCATGCACGATGGTGCTCCGCCACATTTTACGATGGCTGTTCGGTAATATTTAAACCAGCAATATCTTGGTCGATGGATTGCAAGGGGACCTGATGCCCCAATAAAATGGCCAGCAAGATCACCAGACTTTACACCGTGTGATTATTTTCTCTGAGAGGCATTGAAGTCAAAAGTCTAAGAAAAATTTTGTTAGCATGTAATACATTAAATAATCGCGAAACAATGGACAGAGTGCAATTTAACTTTTTATGGCGAGTAAATTTATGTATTTTGAAAAACGGTGGTCATTTTGAACAATTTTTGTAAATATTTCCTACTTGTGTTTGTATTTGTTGAGTTTATTAGTTATTGTTTCTTAGACTTGATTAAAAGTTTTTCTTTCTAGTACTGAATCAACTAAATACGACTACGTTTTTTCCTAACACTGTATGCTTTGAGGATCATTAAAAGCCCACGCTTTTGATCAATTAATGATATTGTATTCACGTTAAACATAAATTGCAATTAGTTGAAATCAGTGCCAACTACGATGAGGTAACTTTTGTAACTGCAATGACGTAAACAAGGCTTGCAGATATTTAAAAATACCGTTTTTCTGGCTTAACCACTTATGTAACCAAAATCTTATAAGAGACAAAAACGGTTTAGAACTAAATGGGCTATTCAGAAATTATAATAATGTAATTGTCGCCTGGCCAGAATACACGTATATACAGGATACGTCTTACAGATTTCTCTATGGTCCTTAATGTGTTAACTGTCATAAAGAAACATAAAATGTTCGCTATCTGAAAAAGTTAGATGATGAGCTATAACTTTGATAATATTATTTGATACCTTTGATAATACCGCATTGTTTTGCTTTGCGACATTTCTGATATCTGTCACAATAAGCGAGGGGGAGGCTAATGCGTTTTCAAATATATTCTCAGTCGGAATTTCGTATTCGAAAATCGTGCTTTCATGAATTAAGCATTTCTACATTCATCCCTGTTCTCAGCCATTTTGAATGTGGGCGCCAGACTTTGTCCCGTGCTAGTTGTGATATGGTCATGTAGGGGATCTTCTAGGCCACCTTTTACCAGCTACTATGCTCTCTAAGGCAAGTCTTACGAGACTGCTTCATTGCACCACATGTCCAAAAAATGTTGCAATGTTTTCAGCCATCACGTCTCGCAATCTTTTTTTGGTTTCAGTTGTTGTCGTATTGACTCGTTAGTTAATAATAATAATAATAAGCGTTTCATTGTTTATAATTTTACAATTTACCATTTACAATATTTCTCCAGTAATACAAGGTGATTTATTAGCTCACCATCAAACTTTGACATATGATAACTACTCCAATTACAAAAAAAAATGTTAATGAACATATGTCCTATTTCAATTATTTACGAAATTATAACACTTTAAAGTTTTAATTTTTATATCATAATTAACTGCTACATTTTTTTTAAAACACATAAATATTACAAAAATTGATCAAAATAGCCTCCTTCTGCTAGAATACATGCTTCACAACGACGAATTAAAGAGTTCTTCAGCCGAATTAAAATGTCTGGGTGATTTCTTATTTCAGTAGCAGCCATTTGTATTCTGTTTAATAACTGTTCTCGTGTGTTAATTTCCACTTGATACACAATTTGTTTCATATGACCCCATAAGTAGAAATCCAATGGATTAAGGCCGGAGGATCTAGGTGGCCAAGCAAATCGACCATTATTATCAATCCACTTGTTTGGAAAGTATTGGTTTAATCACTTGATAACTACTCTTCCGCGATGAAGTGGGGCACCATCGTGCTGGTACCACATATTTTGAATTACATATCTTCAAGTAAATCAAAAAGTGTATTGTTCAAACAAAATCTGTAATTTACATCGTTCAAACGTCCATCAAGTACATGCAAACCTAGTAAATTGTTGTTAAATATTCCACCTCAAACGTTGATGCTGAAACGTTGTTGAAATTTCCTTGGTCTATAATCGCATGCGGATTTTGTAATGCCCAGATATGTTGATTATGGTAATTATTTATACCATCTCGTGTAAAACATGATTCATCTATCCAGAGAACATTTGAAATGAAGTCATTATTTTGGGCATGTTGCTGCAATAACCATTCACAAAATGCTAGCCGTTGCTGATTGTCTTTTGGCTGTAGAGCTTGAACATTCTGTTCACGATACGCATGAAGGAGTTCGCGGTTCAATACGCACCATGCAAAATTTTGACTTATATGTATGTTGTGTGCTGTTCTTCGAATGCTGATGGAAGGATTATCAATGACAGCATTCATTACTGCTTCTTCGTCCTCTACATTAACTACATGCGGTCGAATAGCTTTTGCTGGAGCAGGATTACCTGTTTCAAGAAGTCTTCTGAAAGAATCGCTAAAAACTGAATAATATGGCAAATGACGCTGTGGACATTTTTCTTAATATTCTCGTACTGATTGTAGAGCATTTCCATTGCAAAAACCATACACGAAAATTATCTCAGCATACTCTTCAGTGCTATAAGCGTACATTTTGAGTTTCTTCTTGTATGTAATAATTAATCCTTACAGCAAACTGACATATTACAATAACAACTTTGTTTTTGTTGAATGTTTGATTTTACTGACTATTAACACTTTCGCGGAATTGGTATACGGGTACTATTGACGTCATAGTGTCCGCGAAAGTGTTCATAAATTCGCTGCAGAAAACGTTAAAGTGTTATAAATTCGTAAATTGAAATAGGACATATGTTCATTAACATTTTTTTTTTGGTAATTGGATTAGCTATCATATGTCAAAGTTTGATTGTGAGCTAATAAATCACCCTGTATGTATATACACCCAAACCTTCTACCCTCCTCCCCCATCTCCACACCTTCGGCTTCTCGCCTCAATCACCCCCTCATCCATCTTTTGCCCTCACCCCCTCCCTCTCCCAAAATATGCTTCCTATCCATCGCCTCCTCTTTTACTCACTACACCCTCGCAGTATGTGTTCAAGTGTCTCCCAATCCTCTCCACACAGCCTACACCACCTCTCCACATCGTCCGCCCAATACCTGTTCCGTCTCTCTTCTTTGCCACAGTGGAATCTGGCCACCAATCTCTTCTCTTCATCATCCCCCTCCATCAACAGATACTCTGGCAGTTCCTCTGTCACTATCTCCCCATACCTTTCATTATATCTCCCTTCCGTATCTTTCCTGCCTCTGTATGTCCTTGTCCCTATCTCTCGGTTCTCTCCACATTTCATCTCTCTCCACTCTTCTGTTGTCGATCCCAGTTAGCGAATATCCCACTCTCCTATAATATCCTCCACCTGTCCGGAAACCCCTCGCCTCTCCATTCGTCGTTTATTACCTTCCATAGCTTCTTCTTCACTGTCTTCGTCGCCTCCAATCATGCCTGATTCTGGATCTCATCCTCTCCTGGCGCCCTTCCCCTCTTTAGTCCCCTAAACACTGCTTCCACTTCTTCCGGTGTTATCTCCTCTCCCTGATTGACTCGTTAGTTCTCTGTGTCCAAAGCATCGATTTTCTTTTTGTCCTTTGTTTCTAACGACCAGCACTCTGATTCGTAAGAAAGATAGAGAAAACCTAAGGACAGTAGAATGTAACAGGACTGCTACATCCATTGTTGTGACAACTTGCCCGCAAACTACGTCACACCATTTTCCACGCCCAGCTGTTGTTATGGTCTATGCGTTTGCTGTGTAGTTTTAGAGGTTATATCCTAGACGTATTCATATTATTTTTGAAGGTATACGTTTTTAGCCGAATTAATGTCTATCATATAACTTCTAAAAACACAGACAGTTACTAGGCGTGGGAAATAGTGTGACGTAGAGTGTGGGCAACCAACCCGTAGTGGACTACAAAAATACAATGGATGTAGCAGTCTTGTTAGATTCTACTATCCTTGGAGAAAACCAGGTTCCTTGCTAGTCTTATTTTCGTTGTCATGGCTTCCTTCGCTAGCACGCTTCTCCTGATAATCTGTCTGTTGGAGTTTGTATGTACCCTTTCCAGACACCCTTTTCCACGTGGAGTGGGTCAGTCAGTCCGGTCTTAACTCTTGCGTATGCTGGGTTATTCTCGTAGAGACGGCCTTTGTCTAATCTATAAAGCATAAATATGTGGGTATGTTAAATTCTCTGGTCTTTTCTATGATTTGTTTTAAGGTACAATTCCGCGGCAAAGAACACTGCAAATCGCAGGCGACACTACTGGTTTACATGTATCTTTTTTAAATTAATTCTAAGCGCGGCGGCACTTCACGAGTTAATTTTGACGATGTCTTCATTTTGCCTTGACGCTTTCAGAGTTTTTGAGATACCAAATGTAAATGGTAAATCAAAATTTGGTACGTAGTTGTGTCTCGAGAAATTGATGATCGCTATTGCTATACTCTGCCGGGTAGTCGTTTTCCATCTCGATTTAACTAGGATGTAGTCGATTTGATTTTTATATCGACCACCTGGGGATGTCCATGTGTAAAGTCTCCTTGGATGGTGGTGAAAGCCTGTGTTTGCAATGAAGAAGTTGTTTTTTATGCAGAATTGCAGTAGGCGTTCTCCCCTAGCATTTCTGTCACCCAGAGCAAACTTGCAAATTGCTCCTTGAGTGTTGTGGTCGTTTCCTATTTTGACGTTGAAATCACCAATTATCTGCGTAATTTCTCTATTAGGGAGAGTGTGTAATAGTTGTTTCAGTAGGGAATATATTTCGTCCACATCTTCTTTTTGTGCGTCAGTCGTCTGGAAGGAAACTTGTATTATATCTCATATGATACAAGATTTTATCTCAAAAAATACGCGTTAATAAAAATAAAGTAGATGTCCAAGCCTATTTTCTGGAAGAATATCCTCCGAATTTTTATCGAATATATTCCTTACTTTATATACACAGTTTAAACTAGCTTTAAATTGAGAAGAATGATTCAAATTCAAATATAAATTCAATCGCATCATTTGAACATTTTGTTGTATAAATTTCAATACTTAGAACTTTATTTTGCTACACCTTGTATATACAAATAGATTTAGTAAAAAACTAAATAGCTCGTATACAATAAAAATTTTAATATACTTTTTAGGGAGGATTTTCCAAACACAAAAATTCCAACGCTGGATGAAACTATTGAGTGTTTATTAGAAAATAATCAAAAGATGTTTATTGATATAAAAGATAATAATCCCCACGTTAGTATTTGATTTAGAATAGTATGAAATTTCGAATATTAAAGGGTAACATGAGTGAACATTTTGATAGGATAAAGGTCATCTTGCTATAGTAGCATAAACTTTATCCTAGTATTGAGTAAAGTTCTTTCATGCGCAAAAGTGATTTATAAGAAAAATGTGTGCATGGTCGGACTCTAGAGTATATTAAACTCTTTACACATTGAAATCGTCACTTGTTATACAGTGTGGAAAAAGTCTGGATTACTTAAAATCGATAATCACTATTCAAGAGGAGTTTTTTCTGACAAAAAGTCTTGTAGAGGACCAAAACTATACACATTTGTTGTCTTTTCATATGCTTCAACTTTTTTCTTGTGGTGTGTAGTCGCTGGTACAGTCGTGTTCACTGGAAATGCGCACTCAAGGTCAAGCGCTGTTGTGAGATCCGACAGCAGATCCGCTGGCTAAACGGGCTGAGTCGAGCGCACACGAAGCTCGAGGCTCGTGGACAAAGCTCGAGGCTCGTGGACAAAGCTCGTGGACGAAGCTTGAGTGCGCATTTCGCGTGAACACGACTGTACAACAGGCACAATTCTTTTAAATTGCAGTGCCTATTTTTTGTTTGATAGTATGAAAGAACACATTTTTCTAAGTTCTATCCATGTTACAAAGGCATGGATCGAGATAATTCAAAAAGTTGCGACATACATTAACAAACATTATTGATTACTATTTTAACAATTTAAGGGACACATTACGACTTACGTTGTTCTAGCTTTCAACGTTTCATCTATGACGAATCAAGTTTACAAGACTTATATAGACACTCTTCTATGTGCTGTAACTTTGAATTAATAAATGTTACTAAAGAAATACGAAAGAAAAAAATTATCGATTTTTTCAAAACTTGACACAGCAATTCTCCCTTAATTCATCCATTTAATTTCAAAAAATAGCAGAATGGTCTCTTCATGAGAAAGATAGGATCAAGATATTTGCAATTTGTAGACGATAACTTCCAGATGCAGATCAAAATGTCCGAACGCATTTGGATAATATCTATACAGGTGTTGCAAAATACGTTTAAACATTTATAGAGCGTGTACTACGATCGAAAACAAGTTAAAAAGTCAATATGTTGGAATGTCTTAGGTTATGATTCTATCAAATGGTAACGAAGTGATTGTTAATAACTACTAATTAAGAGTTGCGTTTTGCGTATATTTTTTATTATGTAACTTAATACAAAACAAAAAGGGATGATCATTTATATAACTGTATTCTTTTTACTGTGCAAAGACGCCACTGTAAAAAAAGTTTAGGCATTAACAAAGATAAATTTATAATAGTTTTGGATCCCTGCGAGTTTTTTTGTCAGAACAAACTTCTTTTCAAAATGTTCAAGACTTTATCTACATTGCGTGTCCGCATGCAAAGTACAGCTTGGCAAATCTATTTTGTCCGATCAGTTGCGCAGAAGAAGGAGTGCGAGTATACTCGGCTTTATTAAGTACCGTAAAACGGGGTAATTTGATAACTTTTTGCAGATATTTTTTAGTATACCTTTAAAGATAAATTTTTTATTATGATTCTGTGATGAATTTAGGTTATTTTAGACATTAACAAAGCCTTTTAAATAATTTTGGAAAATGTAGCACCGTACATTTTCCCAGAAAAAAAAATTTGTATGGTTATTTTCAAGTTGCACCGAAGTGGGGTCACTTGAAAATCGTGTGCTTTTGTATGTAAAAAGCAAGTAGAGGTCATTTAGGGACCGGATGAAAAAAGCTCACAAATATTAGTGGGCTAAAGTATACCTATAGGTAAAAAAGAATACTTATGTGCTTTTTCAATACAAACTTTATTTAACCAACAAACTAGACAATTAATTCTCAAAATAAAAAATATAAGTAGGTACTACCTATAATATCCCTTAAAAAAGGTGTTAAATCTTAGGCAAAATGGTATTATAACCCTTAAAATATATTTGTCCACGTCTCAACAGCTCAAATTTCGACAATTTTGTACCTAACACTTTCTACTTTCAGAACATTTTCTTTTTTTCCGTTTCTTTTTCCCTGTTATTTTCGGAGATGTTGTTGAAGGTCTGTATGAGAAATACTCTTTCCTGGTTCTACATGTAACTTCTTTTTTCGCCCTCTGGAAGATGAACCTTCCTTGTTGAATCGAGCTTTTTCAAACATATCTTTTAAACACTCTGGTACAGGTACATCTACACTCTCATCTTGATGGGTATGAGGCAATTTGTTGAGTATTTTTTGCCGATTCAAGGGTACTATCCCAGTGGCTTCAAACCCCGAAATAATATTGTTTATACAATTTTCTTCAATGGAAGACAGTGCTTGTCTCAACAATCTAGGGAACACACCCTTCCTCAATACGCCTTTGTTGTGTTTTTTCCATTCTACGCCAAGCCCCTTTGATGGGTCGAAACACACACACGTCCAAAGGTTTAGTTATGTGGGTGCTGTTAGGAGGCAAAAGCACAATTCTGATATTATTTTCTTTACACTTTGTTTATTACACTCAAAGAGATATGAGATGCCAGATTATCCCCTATAAGTATTTTTGATCCATCAGGCAATTTTTTAAAATATGGAAGAATCACATGGTCAAACCATTCTTCGAAAATGCTCTAGTTCCAGGTGGACCATTTTCGGTCCACGTCGACCATAAGTGACCAGTGTTGGCCTCCCTTCGAGTTCTGCAGCCAAATGGTCAAAGTATTTATTGATGACAGTATGATCCACATTAGCCCTGCTTTCTTTTATGGACTGAGACAGTCGTTTTGAAAGTTGATTCTTATGACGTTTTAAAAATGCTTGCATCCAACCTTCATCCGGTATATTATTTTTAAATGCGGGCCTACCCATTCTCTGAAAATAATTTCCTACCAGTTCCTTAATATCAACTGGTTCCATTGGAAATCCCCATTCACAAGCGATGCCAATTGCTCTAACTATAGAAAGTTCTTCTGCTTCTGAGAGTATTATTGCTCCATATGAAAAAACCTGCCCCCCTGGTTTTTTCATATGGAGCCCTTTAATTGTATTATATTTAATATAATGTAACGTACGATATCCCATATTCTTCACTCAAAGCCTTTAAATTTCCTCTTTCGTATCTTCTTACAGCTTCTTGCAACTTCTCTTCATAAAAATCTCGATATTTTCGGCTTCCTGCCTTTCTTTTATAATTTCTAACCATTTTCAAGCCGCCCCTGATAAAACAAGAAAAAATAAGTTGATACGCCACTGGCAAACTTTAACCGGTAACTTTGATTTTACGTTAGATTATTGTTGTGCAGTTAACAAGCAACCAGAAAAAAATACTACGCATATACAGTAGATTCCGCCTAATCGGACCACATCTGTTCGAACGCGATTTGGTCCGAAGAAGTGGCTGACCCCTTTATCCATACTATACGCAAAATGTTGGTTTTACATCAAATTATAAATAACTAAATGAGTGCACAAATTGATAAGTAGATAATTAGTATTACCAGTTGAATACTCTGATAACAATTAATAATAAGTTTATTAAACTAAAACTAACACTAGCACTATGCACTATCACTAGAACTAACACTAGACCTAGAACTAGAAAGTTTTGGGTTAAGCTGTGCGTTTTTTGAAAAAATGTTTGACTGAAATGTTTGTTTGAATGAGAAGGCTTCGTTGAGTTCACTAGCATCTTCCACGTGCGGCTGAGGTCCCAACCAGCTTCCCTATTCATGTTATTCCCATGTCGATGAATCTCTATCGCCTCTCTCGTCAATCTTTGGAATAATAAGTTTACTTATTAAAATATAAACGAAGATAAGATTCTTAACACAAAACTAATAAAACAAGATATATTATTGCAGTCTACTAAAATGTTACTGATCTAAATTTTCTATATTCGTCTAGCGTTGTTTGACGAATAGATTTTGAAGCATTTATGTAGATAAAGTCTTCGCATAAATTTAGCGCGGCAGTTTACTGACACAATATTTTGCCTCTTTATGAGTGATGGGATGGAGTTCCATATCATCTGTCTCCTCGTCTGTTTCTTCAACGACTTCTACAACTGACTTATCTGCGAATTCTTTAATAATCTCGTCTTCATAATTACTTTCGTCTTGATTGACACACTTAAGCGCATCGTCAGTATTAATAAACTCTTCAAAGTTCTCAATTTTATGTAAATTTCCAAGATCGTCGCTGTCAGCAATTTTATCACCTTCTCGAGTGTAATCGTTATTGTCAGAATACAATTTAAACCCGCAATGCCCAAAGCAGTTACGTATTGTATCGCTCTTGACTTCATTCCAACTGTCAGCTATAAAGTGAATAGCCTGGAAAATATTTATCTTTGCGCTTACTTCTGTTGCGGTTGAAGACAACGATAATATGTTTTCCTCTATCTTGTCGATTACGTAGATTGTTAATTTTTACGATACAATATTTTAAGATTCTTAATAACTCCCATATCCAAAGGCTGCGTTATTGCCGTCGTATTAGGTGGTAAGAACTGAATTCTTATGTTTTGTAGAGCATTCACTGGAGGGTGTGCTGCGCAATTATCGACCATTAAAATTATCTTTTTTGATGTTTTCGTCAATTCTTTATCCCACGTTTCTAGGTAACCCTTAAAAATCTCCGCGGTCATCCATGCATTTCGGACATGTTGGAGCAACATAACACTGTTACTCGGTCTAACGCTTTTTATGTCCAGCTAATATTGTATGTTTGAACACAAGAGAACCATCAGATGTTGCACGATAAAACAAACCTGTTTCATCGGCGTTATAGATGTTATCCGGATCATATAATCTTAAGATTGGTAAATCTTATTTCCATTTTTCTGCCGTCTCAACATTAGAACTGTTCTTTTCGCCGTGCGCCTTTTTAAATTTAATTTCATGTCCTTCATTGACCTTCCATCGAGATAACCACCCATCAGTTGCTTTAAAATTCTCATCACCTGGTAGCCTTTTAGCAAAATTGTCTGCTTTTTCTTTTAGTATTGTACCACTCATTCTGAACCTCGACTAGTTTTACCTCCACGCTTTCGTTTTCGCGAAGAATTTTTATTTGTATTTTCCCATTAATCACCAATCTTATTTTTTTCCTTCATCCACCGTAAAAGAGTTGATTTTGGCACTCCAGTTATCTGACTCAACTCTCGTTGGCTGATATTAGGCGGTTTATTTTTAATTTTATTTAATATTTCTATTTTTTGTGCTAATGTTGGCATTTTTTCCACACACTCCTTTTTAGTCTTTAAAAAGATTCTATTGATGTGCGAACGACTTAAAGTAACCGTACTGACTTTACTTTCCACTACTCGTGCACATTAACACGTACAAACTTGTCCCTTCACTAACAGAATGGTGGGGACAAGTAAAACTGTGCGGTCCGATTAAGCGGAATATTGGACCGATTAAGGGCCGATCTTACAAGTGTTGGTATAATCAGTGGAATAGTTATTCCCAGAATAATTTATTCTCGGCATTAATTTAACGAATGCATCTTATAAAGCCTTTCTTATGCCAGAATAGTTATTCCAATGGTTGGTAATACTGTGGGTATAACGCGCAGCGCGCATGTGGTTTGTTTACGTTGTTTACGTTTAGCGACTGTCAAACTGATCAGCGGTGTTTACCATTATTCTGTTTTTATTTTTATTTCACGTCCTTACGAATATGAATGCGAACAAAATATTTTTAAGTTGTGGTATTAATAGTCCTATATAGTAACAGTGCTAGTGTAAAACTAGAACTAACACTAGATCTAGAACTAGAAACATTTGGCAGCTAACCCAAATGTTTCTTACCCATACGTCTCTTAAGACGGGTAAACCCGAATGATTCTAGTATAGTGTTAATTCTGATGATAGTACTAATGTAAAACTAGAACTAACACTAGAACTAGAAAGTTTCGGGTTTAGCCGTGTGTCTTCAGACGCACGAATGTTTCTAGTTCTAGTGTTAGTTCTAGTTTTATAGTTATTCAGCGCTAGGTTGTTGTATATTTATGGAACTAAATGTAGAACTAATACTAGAACTAGAACCATTAAAGTTTAGACGTCTTAAGAGACATATGGCTAAATCCGAATGTTTCCAGTTCTAAGTGTAGTGTTAGTTCTAGTTTTAATTACTTAGGCCTGCGATCAAAAACCTTTTTTGAAACTAAAAGGCGATTTTCATTGATTTTTGGGTGCTGAATCCGGGAAAAATAATGAAAAATTTTCATCACCCTTAGTTTTTTCGCAAATTTAACTTATTTTTGGATGTCTCACAAATTTTAAGTTGAAAATCAGCATTACGCGTTATTCATACAATAATTATTACATCTGATTGATTATAATCAATGCCAAACAGTCTCTGACTTATTCCTAGTATAATCTATTCGCGTTGAATTGCACGGTATAGCTATTCTGCGCCGTATACCGTTACTTATGCTATACGCCGGTATTGTAAGACGTTTATTCTAGTGTTTATACCAATATTTAGTTATTCTTGGTATACGGAGCGGTATAAACTGTTTTGTAAGATCGGCCCTAAGTGGATCAACTTATAAGAGTAATTGATTTTGTTTTTGGCGATTTGGTCCATATAAACGGCTGGTCCGTTTATCCAGTGGTCCAATAAAGCGGCATCTACTGTAATTTATTTGCATGATACTATGTACAACAGGAAGTATTTAGGGTACAAAAAATCTCAATTTCTTACCTTATTTTCGTGGTTTTTGTTCGGCACAAAAGAGTTCATCTAATCATAAACAAAACTTGCAGAATGAATGTATGAAACAATTGAAATAATTGACTACAATACCGTAGTTCCACCACTCATTACCAGAGAGAGACACATGTCTTAATTTTTATTGTCAGAATTTTTCAACTCACCCCGCATTTACAAGTTACCCCGTTTTACGGTAGTTATAGATTTTTGACTAATTAAGACGAGGTCGCTTGCAGCCGAGGCTCAGTAATTAAAATTATATTAACAGGTTGACTGACGATTACTCCGATCGGAGTGTTTCGGCATTAGTCGGTGACTTTCAGATAGTATGGTCGGCAGTCAAGACTGTTAACCTGAAATTGGTCATATTGTTTAACCTCGGTCGCGAGCACCCTTGGTTTCATCAGGTCCAGATAGATCCTTTGACTAATTAAGCCGAGGCTCAATGATTAAATTATTATATTAACCTGAATTTGGTCATCATATTGTGGCACCTCGGCTACAAACGGCATGCGCTTTATCTGGTAAAGATGTACTAATTAAGCCATGATCCTATTATCCCATATGAAATACATACACGAATACTTTTGTTGGGCACTGTATCACACTTCGCGAAATGAGCTCCGTAATACCGCCTACTGTTTGCTACGGCGCCGGTGCATTTAACCTTCACCGGCCTAGATAAATTTGCCAAGCTGTGAGGAACATAAAAGATGAACTTATAAACTAGAAATTGTTTAGCATCACAACCGATGCATACTTCGATATATAAAATAGAGATTTTTAATTCGCACTGATTTTACCTTTTTATATTATTTTAACTTTTTACATACCATACGTCCCCTTCCTTTTTAGATAGTTGATGTAATATTATCAGCATATGAGAGATGTCCAATTCTGTATGAAAAAGCTATTACAACATCGTTTTTTCCAAACATCATATACATGGTAATTAAAATCATCTTTTTGATAGGTTAAGTTATATTAAAGAAATTTAATAATTTCCTCCCATGTCTGGAAAATTTTCTTACAAGACTTGGAACTTAAAACTCTTACTTTAAATTATATTCCTTGTCTGCAATAGAAAACTTTTTAGACTTTAATGTAAATAGCTATTAACACAATAACATTCTTTTTGTTTTTGAAAAAAAAATAGATTAGAAAACGAAACCCAAAAATTGTATGCTCGCTTGCTTGGAGGCCGCATTCGTTTACTTCTGCCAGTTATAGTTACACTCAAGGTTTGGGGGAGCGAATGCATAGCAGTTTTCATATGCATATAATCTATTGCTTACTCGATTGGTTACACGAAACTTTATTTATGACTGTAACTCATTACATTTTAGGGCTCTCATTTGTGTTGTTACACAAAGACGCTATTTCTGGGTAAGTTTTTTTGATTAACATTTTTTTACTAATGTCTAAATTACTAAATTAAATATTTACTGACATTTTTGTTATTAAATAACAAAGTTTAATGTTGGTGGTGGTGATACTAACATTTAGGTTTAATAATTTTTTTCAGTCGCGTTGTTCACGAATGGCGCGAAAAAGGTGTCCGGGTGATTGCTTGGACAGTAAACCTGCCGCTTGAAAAACGATACTTTTCGCGCGTGCTTAAAATAACATACATGACTGATACGTTAATTCGAGAATCGCAAGAACCAAGCTTAGAGAGAAGCATTACGGACCATTTGCTCGGGGAAACCAATTAGTTCTTAGTTTTTTTATTTGGTTAGAGTTGTTTAGATTACGTTTATTTTTTTGTGTAGTGTCATTTTTATAAATTTAGGTGATTATATTTTTTCTTGTTTTTTGTTTAGTAAAAACTGTGAAGATCTCAATTCTCTAGGTATAATATACACATATAAAATAAATGGAACATTCCGTAACAGTTGTGCATTTTATTTCTTTTAAATAAAAAGAGTTAAATTTAAAATTAATTAATAATTTCATTTTATTTCACCTTCTTATTTCAGCTTGTTGGCGATTCGCTTGAAGCAATATTATGTTTAAATCGTGGGGCCTTGTTCTCGCTGGGATAACACAATTAACTCCAAAATCATCGTTTTCCATTAGTTCGTAAGTTTGTTTTAATTTAATTGAGCCACTTCTTCGAATCGATTTCTTTGAGCTAGGTTATAAACAAAAAATCTCTTTTCTTAAATTTAATTAAAAAAGAAAAGAGTTAAACTTTTATTCCCAGTGGACATTTGGAGTTTGGCTTGATTGAACAGAAAGTATCGGAAATTGCTAAATTATTTAAACTTACATCTCTAAAAGAAAAAATAGTTATAAAAATTAAAAACATATTTAATTTATTATTAAAAAATGTACTGTACGTTGTGCTTCTTTGGATAGTTAACGCCGATAAAGTAATTTTCTTTAATTGAATAAAAAACTACATTTTACAAAAATAGTTTTCTGGAACGTAGATGGCTTTTCCTTTTGCTGCAAGTTCTACACTGCCAAAATCAGAATCGTTAGACAAAAACGAATGGCCCGGTACCAAAAACTTCTGGTCTATGACCTCGATGTTAGTTTCATCACTTTGAATAAATCTCATTAATGCCAAACACATATTAATGTTTCGATTTTGTCCTCCGTATGTATCGCTGTAAACAGTGACTTTCTTTTTATTGTTAGCATAAACTTTTAAGTGCCTTAATAGGCATGACGATATTTCTTGTGAGCCTCTTCCGGCAACTGTCTCATTCCATACGTAGAAAAACCCGGAATCCTTTGCAAAATCATGAACCCCAAAATTGTAGCAGTAACGATTTCTTTTGTAATAAGCATCAGAAACCGTTAAAACTGGAAATGGTAAGGATTTTTGCAAATCTATACTACAAGCATAACATTCAGCGATTGATTTTAACAATTTCAGCGTCATCTTTCATACAACTTCTAGCTTTGTCAGCTTTGTAAATATCACACCTTTTACATGTATCCTTTTTCGGGCTATAGAAGTGTAAGTTGAATTTCGTATTGAAGATATACCGATAAAAATGTTCCTTGACTGGCTGCCTCTGGTTTTCATAGCATTTTTCGGCGTACAGCGCATACATTTTTCGCAGGCTCAATGATTGGCATAAATATTTTTTGTTTGGGTTGTGTTTCCTTGTGTAATGACTCTCGTATGAAGGAAATGACTGGATATGCTGCATAACGTAAGTTTTATCGTCTTCTGATATTTTCCGTTTAGGACAGCCTTTTAAGCCTCTTAGGTCATCTCCTGGAGTCTGACCATCGAGTGTTTTTCTTAAAGCTCGGGAAACTCTTCCCTCAGACACGTTAAACGTGCCAAGAAAATATTTCTTGCAAACCACAACTGATAAATTATTGTTTGGTTTTAAATTATATTGAAATGAAGCACTCCTCATAATGGCTCCTTCCTTTCTTGGCCTTCTTTGCTTCACTGAATTTTTACTTACTAAACCACATAAAAATGTATTTTGTCTTTTGAAATTTCCCATTTTCCAAAAAGCTTCAAACAACGACTTTCGCTCTACTGGCGTGATTTTGTCATTACAGTTCCTTTTGCAGGAACAGAGAGCATCTTGAAATGTTTTTTTCTCAATAATTTTACCCATCTTTGTAACGTATCGTTGCCCAAAATTTCGTGCTTGCTTCGCAATGTTTTGTTTGTGTAGGGAAGGATTTCGAATTCTTTTCCTACTTTTAGTTTTATTAGAATGTTCCATTTTTGTCGTTTCCTCTTCGTCTTCCGAACTAGACGAATAGGGTACAATCCTTAATGAAAGAAAAGTATTAACACCGTTGTTAGGCATCTGTCAATAATTGTAGAAATATCACTGAAAATTGTTGTGAGTAATAATTAACATAATATTTGCGTAACAATGTTTGACTTATGTCGTTGTCATTCTCAACAAATGTCAAGTATTGTAACAAAATGAATATTCGTGTTGCTCCTAGAGGTGAATTTCGACACAAATTGACTAAAGCGCATTTCATTCTCTCTAATAAACCTATACCTAAGGATTGTAAATACGGACTTAACTCAATTTTTAAAATTTTATGACTTATGCCACTTTCATTCTCACCGGCTCAATTACAACACATACATTTTCATAATAATATAAATATTGAAAATCATAATTTTGAAAGTGACCTAAGTCCACTTTTTATTGATAATGTCAAAAAGTGCGGCCCAAAATCTTGAAAGCAGTGATGAAGGTAATTTAAATTATATTATAATATTGAATTAAATTTTAAAGAATAATATTCAATTAAAGAAATTATTAAACCCATGGGAAAGGATAAAATCACAAGAGTCCTTGATTCTGAAAATGAAGAAGAATTAAAATCATACAACAAATATAGAAAAAGAAAGAAAATTTTAGAACTTCATTCTTCAACAGAGGAAGAGGAACTAATTGAGAATGAAAATTTACAAAACAACAGCTTCAGAGAAGGATTCAGAGAAAACAGAAGTGATACTTATGTTCAGAAACTTCGTAAAATTAAACGAAATTCGGGGAAAAGATACGATACACAAGCGGGAAAAATTATACCTGCCAAAGTTTTTCAAAATAAAGATTGCCAATGTCGAAAAGACTGCTTAAAAAATTTAAATGAAACAGAAAGAATACGTATTTTTGAAATGTTTTGGAATTTAGGAGACTTTAATAAGCAAAATATATTGCTGTACGAAGCGTCCGAACGCTGTACTGTAAAAAGAAGACGTAGGAGAAACGGAAAAGGTTCATATAGAAATGAGAGTTTTACGTACTGGTTAAATTCTAAAACAGGCAAAGTTTCTGTTTGTAATAAATTCTTTTTACACACTTTTCAAATAAGCGAAGGACAATTGAAACGTGTGTAAAATCTAAAAATGCAGGCAACGATTTATATGGGCGTTTGCCTGGATCGTCGAGAAAAATATGCGATGAAGCAAATATGGTTGTTTGAATCCCATTATACGAGGGATCATAATCCCAATAGAAAATATGTGCATCCTGAACTGACTATAAAAAAAAATGTTTGATTTGTACGAGTTTCACTGTAAAGAAAATAATTTAAAAGCAGTTAATGAATAAAAAAAAGAAAAATATTCAAAAGAGATTTTAATCTATACTTCCACCAACCACGCAAAGACACATGCCAAAAATGTGATCTATTAAACATTAAAGTTAAAGCATCAGAAAACCATGAAGAAGAGAAAAAACTTATGGAAGAACATGATATTCATTTAAAATTAGCAGAATCAGCTAGAAATGCGTTAAAACAAGATCAAGAACTAGTATCAAGTAATCCACCTCATTATTTTGGCTTTTCTTTCGATTTGCAGAAAGCGTTACCATTCCCAAAGCTAACTACTTCAGTAGCTTATTATAAATGCAACATGTATATTTTAAATTTAGGCATACACAATTTCCACAACGATAATGTATACATGTACGCTTGGGATGAAACAAAAGCTTCTAGAGGTTCCCAAGAAGTGGCTTCATGCCTCTTCAGACACCTTAAAACTCTAAACAGTGAAAAACATATCATTGCATATAGTGACATGTGTGGAAGACAAAATAGAAACATTAAAATATCTTTAACGTGGTTAAAAATTGTTCAATCGATGGAAAATTATGTGGAAATCATAGACCACAAATTTTTAATATCAGGTCATTCATTTTTACCTAATGACAGAGATTTTGGCGTTATCGAAATGTCGTTAAAAAGAAATCATTTACTGTATGTGCCACAAGATTATTATAATATAATAATAAAATGTAGAAAAGGTAATACTTTCATACTAAATTTAATGAAACAAGAGGATTTTATATCAACAAGACTCTTAGAAGAAGCAGTTTACAGAAGATCTAAAAATACCAACGGGGAAAAAATAAACTGGCTGCTAATATGCTGGATGCGATTTTTAAGAAATGAACCATACAAAATTTTATATAAAACAACCATGGAAGAGCAATCAGAGTTTAAAATTCTTGATTTATTGCCACGTCAGGGTAGACCTAAAAAATTTGGAAATATTGTATTGCCATCATTATACAAAAGTATAAGAAGCATCACATCACTAAAATACCGACACATGATGGACTTACTGCGATATATACCTTCGGAACACCATAACTACTTTAAATCCCTACCGCATACTGCGAATGTTAACGAATAAATTGTTATTAAATTTAATTTTTTTCTTCTAAAAATATAAAGTATATAAAATGTTTTTTTAAATGTTTTAAGCTATATGTAACAGACTTAAGCTGTTTCACATTTAATAACAAAACAAATTTTTATTTTGCAAGTGACCTAAGTCCTTTCAAGGTAAGCAAGGACATATTATACACTTAATAATAGCAATTTTTTAATAGGAATTATAAAATTAACTCCCTTAAATACGATTTAGCATTGCGAGTCAACCACATACCCTACATATATTTTTAATTTTGTAAAAACGCAAAACCTTAAATATGTCAAATTAAAGATAAATGGACTTAGGCTACTTTCAAAATAAACGGCTCAATTAAAGGTCTTGGCACTCTCAAAATCGATAAATAACTAAAACCCTGAAAAACTGAACGATTTCTAACATTTCGAAAACCTGTAAAATAACCGAAATCGCTAAAAAAATTAAAAAGATTATTTATTTCAAAATTAATATTTAAAATTACCTTATATGAATTTTCGCACTCATTTCAGCCGCTAATAAAAACGTTACGAAAACGACGCAACAAAATGTGATGTATTTTAATTTGGGGATTTTTTCAAACACTGTTGAGGTGTTACAACTTACTGAGGTTAAACTAATTAAACCGCACATTTTCATCATACACCCAACTCTTTTTTTACACGGTAGATACGTTCCTTAGAAAACCGTGCAAAAGAAAATCGTGTAAAAAAAGTTATAATAAAATGTATATTACATATTTATAAAAGAAAAGCTATTTATTAGTTTTAAAAAAAATAGTGTACAGTCAAAACTCCAACATAACAATAAAAATGTAAACTAAAATTAGAAATAAAAATCAATTTCGCAAGTCTTCATCGCTACTTGATAACAAACGTGCACGTTTATTACGGACTTGACGAAAAGCGCTATTATCAGCATCATCAGTAGATATGTCGGATATGTCTAGCACAACTGATGGATTTAATTCAAATGAAGAATTTCGTTCGTTATTAATACACTCAGAAAAATATTAGCGGTTATTGTAACGAATTGATACTGTTATTTAATTTTTCTTGATTTTAACGTAAATAATCGTGGTTACAACAGAAATTCATTTAAATGAAATAAATAGTAAGAGGAGATTAAAGCCTACATACATTTCATTTTAAGTCTGCAATTTTCTTAATTCCAAATATTAAAAATAAATTGTATAAAATTTATAATCTTTTATTTCAAATATATTTCAGTTATTCGGAAGGAGAATTAGCATTGTTACCAAATGTATGTGCACATTGTCAATACTATCCAACTGCTACTTAAATTAAATGGTTAATGAAAAGGAATTTGTGTTGTGTTAAAAGAAGTATGTATTTAATAATGTCCAGGTTTTTTGTCGATTGTCGCCGTCATGATATCACATGATGTGT